TTTACATCTTACCCCATCTACATAAGCAGTAACCTTTTTTTGGTATAATTTGTTTTCTGTCACTAATTTTAAAAATCTCCGGTTTATAGCATTTCTAATGTGCACTATTTACTATTTTATTTCAATTTGTATTTCGTAAGTTGTTTTTTCTTTTTACTCTCAGATGGGTTAAATTTTAATATTTATTCTTTTTTTTTATTGCACACCTAGATGGTATTAAGATTTTTTTATTAGTAGAGATTTTAGAGAATAATTGGATTAGTGAACATTTATGAACTATTGTTTTATTTTTAAGGTTTGTGAGGTATACAGGCTCCATAGAGAATCATTTTATTTAGCACAAGATTTTATTGACCGTTACCTCGCCACTCAGCAGAATGTGCCAAAACAACAACTCCAGCTCTTAGGAATAACTGCTTTATTTGTTGCTGCCAAAATAGAGGTATTTTTTATAATTATGTTATTTGTTAATTACAATAACCTGTAGACTTTCCTACATATATCTTTGTCTGCTAAATGTAATTTATTTACTGTTGTATCTCTGCATTTTGTAGATACTTGGTATTTGTATTGGATATCAGTGCACCTGAATACTACAGAAGTACTCTGTGAAATATTGAATTGATTTTGATGAGAGTAAACTGTTCTAACTGGATCAATACTAAAAGCTCAAGGTGATATGTCATGATAAGATAATCTAAAATATATGATCAAATCATCAGCAAATACTAAATGGCAATATAAAGATTTATAGTTATAAAAACTGATTGTCATATTTCAAGAATCCTATGAGTTTATATCTTATGAAACCAGGTAAGTGAAAACTGATTAAGTCTCACTTCTTTGCAAAAACTCTTAAGCACTTGTTTGTTTTTCAAATAATAAGTTTATTTGATTTTTTTACAGGAAATTTACCCACCTAAGCTGTCAGAATTTGCTTATGTCACAGATGGAGCATGTACAGATACAGAAATTCTAGAAAAGGAACTAGTCTTACTCAAAGTAATTTCCTGATTTCTTTTTATCGGTATTACAGTTTTTATAAAATCTACTTAAATGCATAATTTACATAATTTTCCAGTGGCTTACATTAGTTAAACAAAACTTGTGTTTCTTTTGTATTACATCAGTTTATTTGTGTTTAAAAGTTATAAACTTAGCTGTATGTAGGTAGTTCATAGATGTCTTTTCATCTCAGACTTGTTTCTTTAACAAAACAATATGACTTATTTGTTTGTGAAAACTACTTAGAAAATGCAATATCAAAAAATGAATAAAAGATGACATTTGGTATTTTATAATGCTCAAAAGAAAAAATAAGATGTATTTTTATCAGCCAAGATTGTAATATCTTCAGATGTTTATATTAGGATAATCAAGTGACAGTGTTAACCACTAATGAGGACATGGTTACAAGAGTTGAAGCAAGGAAGCATTTGGAGAAGAATGATCATTGCTTAATTAGATTTGAGGTTTTGATATGTGTTGAGATGAAAAAAAAATTAATTTTAAATTTTCAGGAATCTGATTTTAAGCCCATAACATAATATTTCTCATTAGTGAATTGGGGTAATGAGTTAAAAAATGATGTGGAATATTTTAAAAAAGAAATTAATTTTAATTCAAGACAGGGATGTTCCTATAGAAGAAAAGGACAATGGTGTAGATCAAACCTAATTGTCATAAAAGACAAAATTATGGATAAACAAATTTAAGAAGATTAATTTGAAAGACGATGAAATATCTATAAGACTATGGAAAAGCTATGGATTTACTTAAAAAAGAAATTAGGAAATCAAAAAGACTTAAGTGAAGCAGTTTACTGAAATTGTTAAAACTAACAGTAAGAATTATTTAAAGTATGTAAGCAAAAATGTTAAAATGGGATTGGCCCCTAAATGATGCTGATGACAGTTTTTGTCAAAGACTATGAAATGGTTGACCTATTAAATGTTTTTACAAGGAAGGATGTTCATGGTTACAATATTCAATTATTTTATGGGAAATTTTGGAATTAATTTGAATCATGTAGATATTAATCCCTTGGTGTAAGTAAAAAGAGTTGAGATATTAAATACGGAGAAAACATCAGGGTAAAACAGATTTTTCCCAGGGTTTTAAATGAGCCAATCTCTTTCATTTTTAGTATGTTACCTACAGTGAGCAAGTGCATGACGATTTGAGAATTGGGGAGTGATAAGAGTTACTCTGGAAATTATTGGAAAGTTAGTCTTACTTCTACATTAAAAAAAAAAAGTTCTAGAGAGTTGGATACAAGAAGTATCTTTGTGTATTGTATCTGGTTCTTGTTCTATTCTTACTTGAACCATTGTAAAATAGAGGATAGCATGAAAAGTTGATAATCCTCGCATCAAATGCATAATACTGTGTTGAATAGCACACTGTACAAGGTCGACTCATGTACATTTTGCTCTTAGCCATGCACATAGGGTTAAGATAGTTTTCTTTTACTGAAAGGAAGATTAGTTTTTTAAATAAATTGCCATTGGCAGGAGTGGAATGGAGCACCTTACAAGAATTTAAGATTTTTGAAATTTTTACTTTTTTTCTTTTGGGGCGATAGGAGGTGTGTGTCTGGACATACAGGTACAGCTTTGAAAGACCAAGTGATTCCTTGTTGTCCATTGTGTTAGATAAGACAACTAACTCTAGGTAGTAGAAACCAAACATACATGTTTTATACTCGTAGTTTTCAATGTATTTTGCTGTTAAAGTAATATAATTTTTGTCATTTTTTACATTAAGACACTGAATTGGGATCTGACACCAATGACTGTTAACAGTTGGTTGAATATATACCTACAACTTGCTGATGACCCTTCAAGTACACGTGGAGATGATTTTTTAGTTCCAGACTATTCAGGGCACATATTTGTACAGGTTGCACAGGTGAGAAATTGTGTAATCCCAGTATGTGTATAACCATTAGACAATTTAATTGTAACTTTATTTTTATTTGAAGTAGTATAAAAACATTGACTTTTGGTGAAGTTAATTTGACCTGGTTGTTATCATGAATTGTATTTCTTAAGCATATTGAATTAACATAAACTACTCTACATAAAAGAAATCGATGAATCTTTTATTTTTATGAACCTTGCAAGTTGCTGTTTTTGTGCCTGTAAAAGGTTCTGGCAAATGAACTGTAAGCTTGAAAAAATGATTCATCTGTTTCATTTTCAAAAGTTCAAGAATTCTGTTAATGAATTAATTCTACATAATACATCACAAATCACAAAAGACTGCTATCAAAAGGAACATGATCTGGATTAAAATTAATTGAATTACAATAATATTTTACAAGCCAATATTAGTGTTAAATGTCTCATTAGTTGTGAATGGCAACATGGCAGTCTGTGGAATTATGCAAGTAAGACTGGTATGTTCAGATTACTTTCTTTAATGTTGCTTCCAGTTAGAATAGCAGTCAAACATAACACTTGCAAGAAAAAGAATTGGTGGAAAATATAGAATATCTTAATGAAAAATTATCAAAAAATGCTTACTTTAGAAGATGTTTTACAATTGAGAGGTACTGAACATTTGAGAAAGAAAAGAAGAAAGATATTTGAACTTTAAAATAATTTTCTTTGTACATTTTTGACAACTTTTATCGGTCATGTATTTTCTACATTCCACTTTTTGCTTTCTTGCATCGTATTCATCTATTTGTTTTATAGTTGTGTTAAAGATATAATTCTTCTATTTATTAAAATTAATCATTTTCAAATTGTTTTTTCTGCATTGAGAACTGTTTTATATAACTACTAAATAATTATATGCTATACAGACACATGAGATTTATAAATAAAAGTTTGCATTCATCAGTTTGAGCAAACAAATTGTTACAATCACAAGTAAAGCTAAAAAGAATTTTTTTTTTTACTTTCAGTTGATGGATTTGTGTATCTTAGATGTGGGATGCCTTCAATTTCCTTATAGTGTAGTAGCAGCATCTGCTTTATGTCATGTGACATCTGAAAATCTTGCAACATCTGTGTCAGGTGAGTATAAAATTGATACAAAATAATAGAACCTGTTGTTTTTAAATGAAGTGTAAGCTATTATCATGACTGAGTATAAGACTAACAAGCACCGAACATACCATCTTCAACTTCATATCAATATTCATTAAATGATGAGGCTTTAATCCAGAAACAAAAAGTTAAACTACATTATTAGCTTGTACAGTTATTTTCCTTTCATCACAAGATTATTTTCAAGCTTTTACTACTTGCAGTTACAATTTGTTGTACCTTGATTTGTTTGAGTATCAAACTGTCACAACAGAACATTAGACAACTTGCTGTCAACTTATTTTACACTGGAATATGAGACAGCTTGCTGTCAAGCTGTTGTACAGTGGATCGTGTGACAGCTTGCTGTCAAGCTGTTGTACAGTGGATCGTGTGACAGCTTACTGTCAAGCTGTTGTACAGTGGAATTTTAGACACCTCCAACAAATATAATTTATTCTTAACATGATGTTAAAGCCAATTTAGAAATGTCTTATTTACTTTTTAAAACAAAACCACAATCATATACTTGAACAGTGAGGAAAATTCAATAGGATCATTGAACCTTTACCACATTAATAAAAACCCATATTTTCCCACCTTTCAGCTTCAAACACACTACTAAAATACAAAACTGGCACTCTTGTATATATAGCTCTTACCATTGTTACCTTATAAAGGAAAACAGAGAAATTTGTATAAAATTATTTATAATAGATATAGAAGTCTCATCTTATACATTTTTGAAATAACAGAACCATGCTTCAGAATTTTAGGGTTGTGGTATTGTATTGGATTGCTATGAATTGCTTTCTTTTTTTTTATAGCCTTGTTTTGGTGTATAACTCTCTTATAGGCAATTGGATACTCATAATTGAGACCCTCTGTTTTCATGTGCTATTCGTTAACTTTACAGGTAGTATGATTGTTTCTAAATTTTTGTTACTGTAATAAATCTTTCATTTACCACTTTGGCACTGTATCGAACTGGAGGCCTTTTCTTGTTTTTTCCACTTAGGTCCTTGAATTAGTAAACACATTTTTTGGTCACACTGCTCAATTGTTTTACTTTTCATACCTGTAGAATTGTATACAGTGGGTTGATGTTATGAGTTTGAATGAAAACTGTATTAGAATATTAAAGCTATAGCAGTGCCTTTGAATTTTCTTGACATATTCTGTCCACATTCAAGTACATGTGGGTGATACCAAAGATGGTGTGTAGAATAATGATGTGAAGTTACAGTTGTTGATGTAATCTTGGATTGTACTGCTTAGAATATACTCAGTTTCTTGCTAAGTAGTTATGTTTCATTGTAGGATTAAAGAAAAATGAATTGGCAGCCTGTGTACAGTGGATGGTTCCATTTGCTAAAGCAGTAAGAGAAAATGGTGGAGCCCAACTGAAGTTTTTTCATCAGGTGACATTGGATGACATGCATAACATACAAACACATAGTGTTAATCTTCAGCTACTGGTATGGTTTAAAGACATTGTTGTTTTTTCCCTAAACTTTGTAGTATTTTACTATTTGAACTTAATACTAAAGAATAATGGACCAAAATAACTTTCTTTACTGCATTTGAATTGTGGAAAAAAACTGAATTGGATCTTGAATGTAATAAGACTCAGTGTGAGCTTAGATTGTTTAACATCATGCATATTTAGAGATATCCTAACAGATGTAGTTTAAATATTCAATTATGGATTTGTATCTAATAACAACTTTTAAAAATTCATGAGTGTGCATGTGAGAGATAGAGGGAAGTACTTTATATAATCCTTTTATTGTGGACTTCTTATATCGTCCACTATTGGTGAGGTTCACGTGTTGCACCTAACTGAGAAATTGTGTTTTTGCATGTTACAGTGCTCAGTGTAAAGAACAAATAATAAATATTTGAGTGAAATCACTCACTTTCTATGTAAAGTATATAGAAAACCCCATGTAGTAATTAGTAGGATTAATTTTTCTTAACCTTTTTTCTATAATGTGTGTGTTATAAGGGACATTGTAATTAACAAGTCATGAACCTCCAAGAAATTGGTGCATAAACAGTTTAGGAAGATGTGTATAGAAGGTAGTGCCCTTTGGTAGTTCTAGGATTAACTGATGTTTTAGATATATATTGAAAAAATTAAACTTCATACAGATTTCAGTAAAACTTGTGGAAATTGCCAAAGTTCAAATATTGCAGATACATTTGTATAAATAAATATTTTTTGTCATTAGTACTTACTAAAACAAATTTTTTTCTACATCTGATTTAATAGGAGAAAGCCCAGGCTCGACAAGTAGAAGCAATGACATTGTCTGTACAAGCCAGCCCACAGTCAGAATATGGAGCTTTAACACCTCCTCAAAGTAGTGAAAAAGAATCTTCAGATTTTGGTTCCCCATTATGATTTGTAACAATATCCTAGATGCTGGAGGTTTAGTGTACTGTGACATTGTTTATGTCTTTGTGGGTGGTTGCAGTGAAGTGAAAATTAAACATGTTGAGATTACATTTATGAATAGTGTGAAAAAAGATTTTTGTATTAAACATAAAGTTAAAATATGACCAAATAAATGCAGAGTAACTAAGTGTGGTTAAAAGAAAAAATTGTGTTGCCTGCAATTGAGATAAGAATTTCATATTTTGGCTTTCATTGTAGCCACCAGGGAGTTTAAATGTTCTAAAGAAGTTCAGGAACATAGTGGTATTAGCAATGCTGGAATCAAACATATCTAGTTTTTTTTTATACCATGGAATATCTTGGGTTTATATATGATTTAATGTTCTTTGTATTTCGAAAATACTTAAAAGTTCTCCTTTAAACAGGATTTTTTAAATTGTATGTGAATCTTATTGATGTACAGTAACACTGCCATGTATTTATTTACTGTCAGGGAAAACTTGAATGTGTGAGTCAAAACTTCATAGGTTCAGAAACAGAGAATGTGTGAAGTGAGGGTGAGAAACAAATGAATTCAATTAGAATATTTTATATGGGCAACATATACTGTAGTAAATTTTACCTATGTTACCCATATTTTATTTTGAGATGATTGAATTTATGAATCCTTATTGATTTTTGACATATTTTCACAAATTTAGTATGACCTTAAAACTAGCCAAATGATTTTCATATGTTACAATCTAAGAAATGTATTATTGATTCTATTGGCTCAGTTCTGGTATTTTGCATTTTAATATTAATATTATTTAAAACTATTTAGTATACCTATTTTGTACATTACAATTTGATTTGATTCAAAACACATGCATGCATATATATATGTATATGGGTTAAAATGGTGGGTGGGCAAATGTTTTAATTTAAAATAAAATATATTTTACTAATTCTCAGAAATGCAATGCTTTTTAAATGTTGATAATAGTGTTTTAAAATTCATGTTTCTTCAGAAGTTAAATAGGGCTTTTGTAATGATTTATTAGTCACAAAATTTTTTGAAGGATTTCGTAAAAGTGTAGATGAGTTGCCTTATAATAAATATTTGAAATAACATTTGTTCAAGTTATTTTTTTTTGACAAAATGTTATTAGCAAATAATTTTTTATAGGCATACAAAAGTTAGTTTAAATAAGATGTTTATTCCATTTCAATAATTCTCTACTGTTTAAACAATTTCTCTGTTTACTACTTTAATAAATAAAAACTAATATCTAATAGTTTAGTATGAAATTCATATTAATAGCTAGTATTAAATCTTTCTCTAATTGCCAATTTACCAGTAATTTCAACTGCAACTGTTTAAGTATTAAGTAAGATTAATGTGGATTTAGTTTTCTAGTCTTCCCTTTGCCAAAAAGACTACGAGTTTTTGGGGTGGGAAAATGGCAGTACAAACTGCAAGAACATCATGCTGATAAAGTCAGAATTTGGTATTGGTACAGGTTATTTTTTTATAATAAATGGTCGGGTGTGAAAGTTAAACTTCTTTGGGGTTTGGTGTATATGTGTTGAGTTATGCAAATACTTTTCAGAAAACGTGTGAAGTTAATGAAGTCATAAAAGTTATATGCATAAACATTGTATTTAATCCATTCCAGTTTGGTGAAATTTAGCATGCATTTTATGTGTGTGTGTGTGTGTGTGAAAAGTACATTACAAATTTGACATAATTATGTTTTTATTACAGCATTAGGTGTTTTGTATATTAAAATATAACTAATTTTTGTATGAAGAAACTTGGAAACCTACTTGTGTACAGTTTTAATATGTATCTTTTGGAAAAAAAATGTTTGTAATAAACATGAGAATTGCTATATATTTATTAACAAGTTTCATTTTAGTTATATTGAAATAGATATTTTAATAAATACTAAACACTAACCATTAACAGAAGATAACTGTGTACCTAATTATTACAGCAAGCAGTTTTTATAATAGATGGAAAGAATCTTCCAGTTATAGAAGTAATTGGATTTTACAACATCTTTAATATCTTTGTTTCCATTTCAGTCAATAAATGATTATAGAAAATTACCCTATAAATATACCAGAATTTAAAACAAGTTTTAAGTTATTCTTTTTCAATTGCAATAAAATGGCTCCAAAATACAACTGTTAATTCTGAAAATATTAATGTAAACACATACCCTATACTTTGGTATATTGATATCTTTACTAAACTAGATGTTTAGGAAGAGAACAGGGTTACACTATATTTTGAAATGTTGGTATTGAAAATTTTAACACCTCCATTTAACTAAAATTCTTTAAGAAAAATAGTTTAAAAAAAATGAAATGGTAAATATGAATATCTACAAAAAGCAATAAATAGTTTTATTATTTCTGTATAGTTTAGAGGATAATTTCTTGCACATTTTCAAAACTTTATACATTTATAAGATGGTGAAACAGACAAATTGGGAATGGGACATGTTTATAACAATGAAATAATGTTATCCTTCATGTTCAATATGCACTGATTTGAGGACCACAGTGTATTGCCATAAAATTTTATCAACAGCACATTTTTGTACAGACATTTTTTTCATACTTAAAGTCAGCAAGCATTAATGGAAAAATAAATTAAAACATTATATATTTGGTGTTAATATTCATGTTCTAAATACATATTTAAAATCTAACGTATGTGTGACACAAGTATATATATTTCAGAATAGTGTTCCTCACTTATATGCAATACACCTGTGAACAAAAAAATAGATGTTGGCAAGAAGTTGATTGAAGGAAGCTCAATAGCCTTTTAAAAAAATTATTTTGTCATCATGTTTTGTGGACCTTATGACTCGCTGTCTATTACCAGTAATAATATAATGGAAAAGTATCATTGAGATTATAAAATCATGGGCATGTATAATCTCTATCATGATTCATTTGTTAAATTTTGTTCAAGGTATTTTAGATTTTAAATGAATAATTATTCTATCATGCTAAACAGCAAATTACATAATGTTGCATTTAGTTAAATATGATTCCAGCAATACTTCTTGAGAGTACTTTGCTTTATAGATTTATTTCATGTGTTTATTTTTTTTATATATAAATTTGTGACCTTTAAAGTTGTCTATATACATATTTAATAATAAACTACTTCAACATTTTATATTACCTTTTTTTCACTTATTTTAAAATTTATAAATGACCGAGGTGAAGGTATGAATCCTTCAAGCACATTTAAACAAAAAATAATAATAAACATTCTCTGTATGACAATGATTTTTCAATCTTATGAAAAATTCCTTTAGTGTTTGTACAGCTTTACAGATTTTGACTACTAGTGTTCTAAACTATGCCTTAGATTTATTCAGTATTTTTTGTATTAAATGATGTATTTTGTATTAAGTGATCTCTAGTTGAAATTCTACATATAAAAAAATTACAAACAAACATACATTTATTTTTATATAAATACAACAATATACCCTGAAATAATGAGCTGCAAATACACTTAAGAAAAAAAATGTAGTTTTTTGCAAGATTGCAGAATCTGTTTTGACCAGAAATACAGTGGCAGTAAATAAGTCCTATACACAAGATGGAACAATGATAAATAATTCAAAATTTTGGTATTAAATTTACTTTTAAATAAAGTACAGTATACTTGATACATAAATTCAAAACATTTTGCCACTTAAATTTCCAAACTTGAGGAAACACTCATATTTGATAAATCTTATGGTTAAATAGCAAAAAGTCATTACAATTTATTTTTAACAAAAGTACTGTAATCTGTTATACAATATAAGGCCCTGGTGAAAGGACCGGCAGTCATATTTCTTGTTACTCTTCATAGAGAACAATGAGATTATTTGGTAGTTTCATGAATAGCATGGGCAAAATAGTTTATGTTCGAAAACAAACCTGCAATTGAAATGCATCAATCTTTTTTCAAGTACATACAATTCTTATATTAGTTTTTCATCTATAAAATACATTATTTGAACTGATGGATAAAGATAAAATGCATGTATATTGTTAGTGTAATTACCATCTTTTTTTGACAATTTATGTGCACAAATTGAAAAAAAATTGCATTTTCTATACACTTACATATATATATACACACAATAAAACTTTAAACAACTTGCTGTCTCCATAACACCAGGTTAGCACACAAGATATACTGTTGAGATCCCATCCATAATTATAGGATTAATGTTGGATTTATATTTGAAGTCCTTTTTTGATTTGTTAGAAACAGTCTAATGTTCAAAATGTTCTACTTGTCCCATTCATTTAGAATTCAACTTAAGAAGTTTTATTCATTCTCTGTTTATGGTTCTTTGTTCTCCTCAGAGTACATTTTCTGGAGAAGCACAGAAATACAACTACATTACGTCAGACCAAAATCTATAAATCAGAAGTATCTGGATAATTCTCATATGTAGAACAATAAAATGTTGACACTAACTGTCAGTCAGGCGATGTAATAACTCACCACTGCCAGTCTTACAATATCGTGAGTCATATTGATTCAGTACTACATTATGATTATTCCAGTCATATAATATAGAGGGTTGACTGCATTATTTTTAAATGATTTTGAATATGTAAATCAGCAAGTAACTTGACAACCTCAGCAAAAATAAAAGTTGCAGTGGAATGATATGTATCAGAACTACATTTTGACATCATCTGGTCTTATGTAATTAGTGTGATACCACAGAAAATTTATTACTTTTTGGAAGGGTATGTAACAACCCTTTCCAGTGCAATATCCATACACAAAGATGTGTTAAGATTGGTGATTTAGAACTTCCAAGATGAGGATATCCTTTGTACTTAATGGCACTGAAAAACAAAGGAATATGGATCATCCTGAGAGGTACAATGACCATCCATAAAGAAACCTTCAAGTTGTAACCCAGCTATAATAAGCAAAGTGTGGTGTTTTCTAACAGGTGAGCCACTACATAATCAAGAAGGACCTACATTTGTAAATAAGGCAAACAGGGTATGGGGTTCACCAAGGTAAGGCTTCCAGTCATACCTCCCTTTCAACTGTTGCATACTTGAAGCAGCTGGAGAATGAAATACGTATTTATGCAATTTCACATAAAGACATACCAGTTAAGTCTTCAGGTGCAGCACTTACGAATTTTTATGTGACTGGACTGTTGAAATGGGCACAGAGAAACTATTGTCCTCATACACTAGATGCATTATGGAAACCACATGGGGAGGAGTGGTGTGTTTTGGACATAACTGATGTATGATAGAGCCTTTTGTAAATGAAATTATGCTGCAGGATTACTTTAAGGATGCACAATTGTCAGATGGAGCCTTACTGAATGTAGCAATATGGAATGTAACGACATAGTGAGTCTCCAAAATTGATTTAATATAACATATTCAATATCACAAATTACGAGTTATTGATTCAGCATTACATTATGATGGTTTTGCAGTCATACTAGATTTACTTCTGCAGGATCCCCAAAAGTGTTCTGTTTAAAGAATAAATAAAACCAGAATTACAAATATTTTTTATTTCTTGTTTATGAATTCATATAACATGCTGTGTTCTAGCCTACAGTGTGTATGATTCTTTCTGTGATTCAAGGCATGCACACATTTTACTGACATCACAACAGTACAAATTGCAACATTAAGCATCCCATATATGATGTCATTTTAATTTCTACTGACTGACTGACAGACAACACATTACTGTATAGTAGTGCAAGTGGTTAAAACAGATGGCTTTAGGCCCCCTTTCAGACAAATAAAAAGACATACCAACTTCAACATTGCACCAGGAATGTCATCACAATCATAGTGTCAAGAATTATGCTGATTTAGAATTATGCTTTTACTAAATGTCAGTCAGGTAACTTCCACTTCTGCCTTACTTGAAATTTCAAGAGATTTCAAGAATGTAGCATGAAAAAACAAATTAAATGGCAACAAAAACCCACATTAATATTTTTCAATATGCTATAAATATCATAATCCATGCTGAGAGAAGCATGAACACAGTGTTACAGGTGTTTATTGGTATTGTGAATGAATATAAAGACTGCTTTAACAAATATTCACAAATACTTTTAATATCTTAAATATCTGTGAAAAGTGAAGAGTCATTTTCCATCCTGCTACTTAGTTTTTTCTTTTATAATGTATACTAAGACTATAATTGTAGTTTAGATTACTAGCATCACCTGTTTCTCTAAACCTAATGTTGTGGTTGATAGGTTCAAAATTAGCAGTTCATATATATATATATATTTATCATATAAGTTTTTCTAATATTGTCATATCTTCCATGGGAATAGTAATAACTTTACTCAGTATTTTTTCATCTAAGATTTCAAGTTCTTTATATTTCTAATAATTTTATTTAACTTTATGAATGTGTTAAACTCACCTACTGGGTTTCATTCCTGTAAAACAAAACATTCTAATCTTATCAGTGATATGCTGCCAGTTTTCTATAGATTCTTACTCATTTAGGCCATCTTATGGTGATAATCCTGTCAGCTATTCCTTTTATACCTTTTAACCTACAAAATTCAACATTACGGTACAGTAATGTATTTATTAATAAGGTATTCACGTGGCTTTTTTTAAGGCAAAAACTAAAAGCTTTAACAGGTTTTTAGAGCATAGATGTGTGAAATGCAAGAGACATACAAGTATTACACATAAAAGTTAGGAGCAATATAATGTTTATTCATAAAAACAACTATAACTTAATAAAAGAACAACTTATTTCAAAATTCTTAAAAGGAACTTACATTTGTACATATATACTTAAGAAATAAGATACATTTGTTTCGTAAACATTATTTAAAGATGCAATATTCTATATTCTCCCCATTTCCATACTTCGAATGTCTTTTTAACAAAGGATTGTTCATTTGGGTACAACAAGCAAAATTTGTTTTTATTATTGGAATAAGTATATAGTTTCTGACTTTTTAATCAGAAACAAAACTTTCCCATGTTAGAAAACTGTTTATCTTCTAACAGAAAATATCATCTACTGAAACTTTAACTAAAACTTATTTAAAATTTCTGATCTTAAATAAGAAAAATAGCAAACCACTGGACATTGTGTTCTGGCTCTCTTGTATACCACTATCATTTAGATCTCACTCTCAAAAACAATTTATGCAGTCCTTGCTCCATGAACGAGAGGGTTGTAAAACATTAGGTCAATGATTATCTTCAACTGAGAAAGAAGTCACTGAGTCTCTTCTTTAGAATCACATACCATAGTGAAAGAACCAACACACTAAGGAAAGGATACGTAAAAACTACATTAGAAGCTTAAATTGCTTTTAAAAGTAGAATTTATACATCTTTTATTTTATTCACACTCTCCTTATAGATTTATCAATCTAGCAGATAGCTCTATGTTAACTTTTTCCACAGAAAAGCATGACAAAACGTTTCAAAAGTATATTTCAAAGTATATCTAGATTAATAAAAACCCATAACCTACTTAGTTAAAAAAGTTTTTAATCTTACAAATAAAGAAATTGCAAACATGCCACAAAAAGATGGGTAATATTTAACTACATTATTAAGGTTTTTTAATTCCCCTTCTTAAGTTTATTTCACATTCACCATGATTTAGTAATCATCAATTTTACTGATCCAGCTGCAGGAGGGTCTTGTTTATTTTTTTGTAATTAAATTAATTTTTTCTAGGCTTACCACACAGTTTTATAAAGCATACAGGCAACTAAATCGTACCCTTACACTTGGGGGCAAATGCTCAGTATTTAAAGTGGCAACTCCACTATTAATGTTACATATATAAAATGCTGATACTCATTAAGTCTTAGACTGTAGGCATTTGAAATGGCATGCTAAACCCGCAAGAAGGAAATATACATGCAAGCCCAAATTAGATGAAACAATATCAGTCATGTACAGAAGAACAGATGTGTTAACTAACTACGTAATCCTTCGTTTGTGGACAATCCTGTGACCATCATTTACAAACAATCGACTGCCATGGCATCATGATCAATTTTACCTACTTTCAAACTTTAACAGACGATGTTGAAGAATGGAAACAACTTTCTGGACTGAAAGTAAACAATGACTGAATCAAATTATCTTTAATACTGTAAAAATATGTGTACAGAAAGAGAGTAATAAGTTTAACATTTCTGTAAAAAGAAACAAAAAAAATCTTATAATTCTTGTAAGCTCACTTGAAACTGTAAAACCATGTTTTAATAAGTTACTGAAATGTATTTGAATAAAATATTTTTTTTGAATGTGATTAGTCAGTTTTTTAAACAAAAATAGTATGTAGAAGTATTGTTTTTTTTTTTTTTATTAAGTATTATTTCAGCAGAAGAATATGAATAAAGAAATATATATTTTTATAGCTCTGTTATTAGAAAATATATATTAGCATTATTTTTGAAAACACCTCGTTACACATATTTCACTGACTGCTCTTCGAGCTTAAGTTTTAACAGTAGGTAGCTTCATCTAAACTCTACTGCTGTGATACGATAGTTTTGATTTTCTTATTCTCATAAAAACTAATGCTATGTATGTTGCGTCAGTTTTTCATATTATATTATCATCAATATTACTCCTGTGTTTTGAGTTTTACGTTCTTGTTTTACTCACATAAAGACTATTTCTGTGTCTTATCAGTTTTATTTTGATAAAATCTACTGGCTTATCATGAGTTTTATTTTTCTTATTTTATTCTCATAAAGATACGTGCCATTTTTGACATATTTTTTCTTATTCTATTCCCCATAAAGGCTATTGCAGTATTATGATACTTTTTTCCTATTTTATTCTCACATAAATTACTCTTAATTTTTGGCAATTTATTTTTTTATACTATTTTTATTACAAATTATGATAAAGTGAGATGATCTGTGTTTCCATGCACTTTATTTCACAGAGATTTGAACAACTTAATGATTAGCATGCCCAGACTGTGAATTTTTGCATCCAGTTACAAGAAAGATTCTGCATTTTATGCCTGGGAGTGCACTATAATAATAACACCCAAATCCCATTATACAGTCAAGTCAGAACAACCCTAAGTTAGCAGTAAGTACTGTTGACTAGTTGCCTTCCCTCCAATTTATCAGTTCAAAATTAGAAATTGTTATGAGCAGATAGCCTTATGTACAGCTTTATGTATGTTCTTAAAGAAGAAATTTCATTGGATTTATCTTTTAGTCACCACTGTACTTTTGGGGGGCACATGTCCCATCGTCTGTTCATGTTGTTTAACCCAACATATGGTTTTTGTCCAGTAGTCTTTAAGATTGTCATTAGACCAATACACCACTGCCACACATGGTTAATTTTCTAAATGATAATATGAAAAAACTACCACAACATTAGTTTCATGGTTTAAATGGATTATGCATTATGTTCCCATGTTTCTAACATTGCCCAAGGTTCTTTAACACTCCTTCTCAGAAGCCATCCAGTGTTGTAACGGTGACTGGACATTTTCCGACAGTCAGTGATATAATCACCATTGTACACCAAATCAGCATAAAACTATTCATTTTACACATTTCATCCTTACAACTCTGCCATTTCAGAGAGCAAAAGATGGCTTTCAGCTTTAAATCATAAAGCAAATATGCTCACAAGCAATGCAGATAAAGATGGCAAAAATAAAAAAATAAAAAAAAGTTAAATTGATGCTGCACATTTTGTAGTAACAGTAACAAAAACTACTACTAATTATAATAAGTTTATATTATTTACTTATTCATTCAAAGCTATAAATCCCATTAAACAGTTGGTAACTTCTTTTGACCTGGGATCTTCATGAACTAATTTATTTGAGCATTTTAATGCTTGGAGCAATGATAGCTGCTTTTGTGTGGGTTCTTTTTTCTCCAGTCTTGCCTCTTTATTTTCCTTAGCCATCTTTAAGATATTGTTCTATTCAGTGGGGTGGTGAAATCTTTTCCAGCGTTTGCCTTCTCATGAAACTTTTGCATCACATGGTTTTCAACTTGCTGTCCTGCTGTTGTTTTCAGGTACTTTAAAAAATTTCAAACCATACTGTTTTGAGAGATGTACAGGAAAAAACGATCTCATATTGCACATACATTCTTGTCTCAAACATTTATGCATCACAACATTCTATGCTACAACAAATATGCAATTACTTTCACAGTGAAGAAAAATATATTCAAGAATATTACTTAGCACAAGAAATTTTACTGCTGTGATAACATAACATATCACTATGTTACTTAACAAGAAAAAGCACCCATTATGATTTATTCTGTTCCAGAAATGACCTGGATAGTGGCATTATTTATAAATAAAAAAGTAATCTTTGTTCTAAATAGCTTAAACTGTACATCCTTGCATGTACAATGTTAAACAAGAAACAAAAATATGCAATTGAAAACACATTAGACTTCACACTGTACTAAAAGTCCCTTCTTGATTTATTGTACATCTCAAACTCATGCAGATCTGTTTAAACAATGTTTATAAACTTATGAAGTCTTATGCATGAAGCATGTGTGCTTCCACAATTTTCTTTCTTTCTTTCTTAATTCCCAATTTTTGCTTGTCAATATAAAATTAGATTTTAACAGTAATAAAAGAACATCTATAAAACATGTTTAGAAAAACAATCAATTCAGTTGTATCATTTTCAATTATTTCAGAATTTACAAACAGAGAAGTATCTTAGAGCTTTATGTTTGAAATGAAATGTTCTCACTGAAATTATAAAATGGTTGCACTTACAAATACTAGACACCAGACTTCCTGCAGGCTTAACAAACTATGGATAGCAGCATATTTCCTTGCCCATCTTTCTGGTCATCATTAACTCCAGCCTATTCAAGTAGTTTTTCATCAAAATATTGATGTAGATACAAAAATAGTATATCTGATAATATATATAAAACAATAGAAGCACTAAGTGAAATAGAGACTATACTTATAATTCTATTCTTTCATCCCTATTTCACTTTTTGTCATGTGTATTTGATATTTATCATATCTAAAACAAAGTAATTTTAGTTTTTAAATTAGTATGCCTAAGTCATGCATAAACATTCACTACCCAGTAACTGCTAATTCTGTATCCATACTGAGAAATTTTATAAGAATCCTCAGAAATCTCACACAAAAAATACACAAATATCTTTGAGAAACTAAAAATATTTCACCAAATAATCAAGACTGAATGAGGAATGCAAAGAACAAAAACAAACAGCTTTTAATTCATTTTGCTCTAATCACAAATACTAATTGTGTTCGTATGTATGTAAACACATACAGGAATTGGCATAAAAAAAAACACTTCGATATAAAAGCACAGGTGGTGGGAGAACCATACAACCTAAAGTTTTGCTCAATATATATATATGGTGTTTTTGGTTGTCTTTTACTCAGAAATAGTGAACCTATATTCAGGTTTTGAATAACATGTAGCACTTGCATTATTAATTTATTTTCTCCATTATCCAGCAGACACATTGTTAGTTAAAAGTTAGTTTGATGTTAGAGTTCATTCATTCATTCATCTGGAATTTGTTGTTGAAATGAATGAGAGACATACTGAACATTTGATCTAACTTGCATTGATATTACTATAATTTTAAGATAATATAAAATTTACTATTATTCTAGACTACTTTGTGTTCTTTTATCGTTTTTATAAGTGTTGTTTACATATTCTATACAACAGTACCAACTTAGAAAGTTGTTCGGTTTATGTTCTTCCGATAGTATACCCCAACTTATCTTGTGTTACTACTACACATACACACACAGATATATTTTCATATAACACTGATTTCCCAATGCAATCAAACATGAATAACAATTCATGCCAAATACAAGAAAATATTATTTTTATGTTCAATTCTTAATTTATCATGGATTACTATCTTTAAAGTTAATGATTATTTTCTACAACCTTAATTTGTTTTAAACAAGTCCTACGAGAGATGACACACAAAATTAGAATTATGTAGGTCTGAACCATTTTCACATTAGGTAACACAAGTTAACATTTTCCTAAATTGAAAATGTATTTCCAATAATACGTACCTCCACTGACACTTATATCTATTACTCGACCGTCAAGGTTTCTTCTTTGCCCGTCTAATCATTAGTCTGATTTTTTTCTAGCTTGCTCCAGTCTTTTATACCTCACTCAATTGCCCTTGGCAATTTTTGTCTCCTGATACTCTCCGCCTACGTCAATGCGTCTCTATACTGGTACTGTATATAAGCACCTCATTCAGATAATTTATCACTTTTTTAAAACTGATACCATCCCAGTCTCTAATACCTGCTCTAAGTGGGGAGGAAGGGTGAGAGAGTGTCAGCAGAGGTAAGTATTATTATAAATACATTTTCAATTTAGGAAAATGTTAATTTCCAAAATATACTTGCCATTGCTGACACTTATGGCTAGAATCCCACATTGAGAATGTGTCTGCATAGATTATGGGTGTACCAAGATAAGATTGGTACTCGAATGGGGGATCCGCACTTCATCCAGAATAAGTATGCTCTTCACCCTGAACTTAGTTTGTGTATCAAGGGTGGAATTGTACACGAGTGATCATCACTAGAGGCCAGCCCCAACCAGATAGCCAAGGTTTCACAACTCGGAGTTGGAATTAAGAGGTCTTGGTCCTTATATCCCACGTTGGTGGCTAGGGCAATTGGACTGCAATGTTACACACACACACACACACACATATATATATATATATATATACTATTGACTGAGTTACAACTTGTAGCCATAGAGTGATGCGTTTTAAACCACTGGAATCATAACAAGAAAGTAAGCAACACCAATGTGGACAAATCTTCTCTCCACCTGAAAAAGCCCAAAAGGCAACACTCTAGGATCGGAATAACGGGACAGTTTATGCCTTACTCACCGATCCCAATATATTCAATCCAATGATTGGCAGGGATGGGCAGGATCCTCTTTAGCTTTAGTCATGATAGTCCATGAGTGGCAGTCCAGCATAGTATGGTAATACCATCTGGTAAGCTCCTAGGTGGTCTTATGAAACACTTCATTTCTATAGCGCCTGTTGCAACTGATAGTAATTATAGTAAAATGGTGGTTGCTAGTGTGGAATTGATTTGATAAAAGCACACTTGTCTGGGCAACACTCGGCACAGAGTAAGATCCTGTGAAAACAAGGTAAGGGTCTCTGAAAAGTAGTAATAAATATACTCACCCCACTGGATAATTTAGCAGAATAAATTAATATAGCTACAGGAGGTACGCAAAAACACTCAGATGAAGGGACTGCCAGACCAAGCAAATAATGTGAGATAAAAGTATTGTGGGAGGTCCACATACCAGTCCACACAATGACGTCCTGTGGGTAATTCAACCGAGCTGCTAAGAACATAGAAAAGAGAAATCTGATGAGATGTGACTCACAGAAGATTCCTCACCTTTAAAGAGAGCCCAGAATAAAAAGAGTTGTCAGGTATTTCTAAAGGTATAAGTGAAGGCAACAAAACCTTCCAAACCCTCATTGAACATGACCAAGATCGAAATCTGATTGGACATGGAGAGAAAGCGAGAGTGAGCACATGGATCCGAGAAAAGGATTGGACCCATTTCCCGTCTGACAGAGTGTTTGTTAAAAAGAACTGGTCTGAGGAGGTAGAGAGAATGAGAAAGTGGTCCGTGGACAAACAGCGCAAATCACTCCAACTGGTGACGTCCATAGGTCAGCAGCAACAAAAAATACACCTGCAGGTAAAGGGGATGCCTGGCATATATGAGTCAGGTCACAAACAGTTCCAGAGAAAGAACATGCAACCTTAAGATGCAAAAACCTCCATCAAAAAAGTTTGGTTGACACCACTGATTGAAAAGGGTTCAACCTCCTCTCAATGCAACATTGCTGATATGCATGTCATTACTGTTGAGAAAAGTGTCTTTTGGACTCAGCAGAAATTGAGACAGATACATGTCAACCTTAGAAATTAAACCCTAATGCCGCATGAAAGACAGCATAACCTCTATGCCTGAAACTTGAGCTTCTGGATAGCCAGGAGTACCATATTAGACCATGGTTGCCTTCACAGCGAGAGCCTAAAAAGAAGTGGAAGAGCTGCACACCAGAAGGGACTGCAGAAGCAGAAATCAGGGTGTGATGATTGAACAATTGATAAGATGGTGCCAGCAGTAATCAGTCGTCCGTGGAATGGCGCGTGCACAGTACACTGGATTGAAGGGGACGAAAAAAAACTCGTATGATACGGCAGAACCCATGTGAAGCCTATGAGAGTCCAAAGTGAAAAATCTAGAACTGTAGTACCTGACCTTTGTGCACCACAAACGCAGAGAGTGGTGGGACTCCACCGCTAAGACAAAGTGCAGATAGGAGCCGACTACAACTAAGTTGTACATCTACAATCCCAGTAAAAAATCCGCAAAGATTGAGGAATGAGTAATTTGTGAACCTTGGAGAATCTAGACTTTGATACTGTTGCGTCAGCGAGGTCACGTGACTAGTATCACGCCACTTCTTTCTCGAACTTTCGTGAATTATCGGGAGATTACTAGATTGGGGGCATTCTGGTATATATAAGATGGTCACAGCGTGACGGGACAATGTGTGTTGGTAATGAGTAATTGAACTGCAGTCAGAGAGTGTGTAATTGAGTATTGTCGAGCACGAGCACGTGAGACGTTCAAGCGTTTGTATAGAG